ACCAGCCAGCGTGGAGCGGCCGGCTGCGGATCACCGCCAAGGGCAAGCTGGCCTTCATCAAGCTTGAGGACAAGACCTCGGGTAAGGAGGAGGGAAGACAACAACTCCATGCTCCTTCCTGGAGGGAGGAAGATAACACAGAGACTCCACACCCTGGTTGTTAACTTGTTCCTGTTTCTCTTTTTTCAGGAGAACTTTTTGCCCAGGCGCCGGTGGAGCAGTTCCCTGGCATCGCTGTGGAGAGCGTGACCGACTCCAGCAGGTACTTCGTCATCCGGATCGAAGATGGGAACGGTACGTCCTGATACGTTGGGGTAATCACCTCAGAAAGTCTTCAGTGCTCTTATTTGTGAAGGATTCCTGCTTCCAGGAGATAAATATTCCTCCCTTTGCCACCCTACACAGGGAATTATCTCACTCCCACACCTCTGGCCTTCACCAGGAATAAAACCAGTTTGATTTTGCCGCTGGGCATTGGCATCAGCACCCCTCTCTGTGCACAGTTGCTGCCCTGGTGCCAACCTCTGCTTCCACTCACTTAATATTCATTTAAAACTTAGATTTAGAGCTCCCTTCCAATCCCTGACATTCTGTGGTTCTGTGATTTACTAAACCTGGATGTGCAACCAACAAGCTCAAGGTTTTTCCAGTCCCTTTCCTCAGTCTCTGGAGTCCCAGCTCCGGCTGGAGGAGGCAGTGGGAATGGGGGGGTGTGTGGGATGGGGTATCCCCTCCCTTTTCCTCCACTGCTCTGTGCTTCCAGCCCTGACTCTTCCTCCTTCCCAGGCCGTCGTGCTTTCATCGGAGTCGGCTTTGTCGACCGAGGGGATGCTTTTGACTTCAACGTGGCTCTCCAAGACCATTTTAAGTGAGTTTGTGCCTCTCAGCTCGTTTGTTTTTGACAGACACCCACCAGGAATGGTGCAGGAGAGGAAGCTGTGAGCTCCTGTCACACTTCAGGGAGCAAACGTGGTGTGAAGAGGTGGAAACACCTATTTCTCTGCGTTAGCCTTTGTGCAGGCAGCTTTTTCTCTCTCAAATATTTCCCAGCAGGCTCCCAAACTGGGCTTCCGTGTCCAAAATTGGGTCAATTCCCTAATTCCTTTTAATTACTTCAGGTGTCACCAGTAAGGGGCTGCTGCTGAGGGGCTGGGATGCTGCTCCAGCTCCTGGTGGGCAGTGGAGCTTTGGGGCAGGATGGGATGTGCTGTTGGCTGGAAGATCCGTGTGGTGAAGTCTGGGATCACATCCAGCACCTTTAAAAAGCTGCTGCCAGGCTGAGGGGATGATTTTAGGCAGGATTTATCCAGGAGAGCTTCAGACTGGTGACTGATGTGTCTTTTTTGTGCTTCTTTAATTCCTGCAGGTGGGTGAGGCAGCAGAGTGAACTGGCCAGACAGGCTGAGAACCCCGAGCAGGGACCCAAACTGGATCTGGGTTTCAAGGAGGGACAAACCATCAAACTCAACATCGCGGTGAGGGGTTTTTCTGCCTAAATCCGCTCCCGACTTTTCTCTTAGGGTGGCACAAGAGGAATCAGTACCTTTTCCCTGAGATCCATGTGCAGGGAGAAGCCTGGTGGAGAGCCCTTGGTGATAAAACCACCTGCAGTGATGCACAGAGGGGTTGTGTCACAGTTCCCAGTGACAAATCTGAGTCTTTAAGTGACCATAACCATGTTATTTATAAATCATAATCATAAAATCAAATCATGACCATGTTATTTATAAATCATAATATCAAATCATAACCACGTTATTGATAAATCATAATCATATAAATATCATTGTTATGGTTTGATTTTAAATCATAATCATAAAATCAAACCATAACCATGTTATTTATAAATCATAATCATGAAATCAAATCATGACCATGTTATTGATAAATCATAATATCAAATCATGACCATGTTATTGATAAATCATAATCATAAAATCAAACCATAACCATGTTATTTATAAATCATAATCATAAAATCAAACCATAACCATGTTATTTATAAATCATAATCATGAAATCAAACCATAACCATGTCATTTCTAGTTGTACCACCCGAGTTTCTCCTCCCTTCTTTCAGAACATGAAGAAAAAAGAAGGAGCCACAGCAAACACCAGACCACGTCCCACAGGTCCTGGGGGCCTGAGTTTGCTCCCACCACCTCCCGGAGGAAAATCTTCCTCTCCACTTTGTCCTTCAGGAGAGCGACCGTCCGCGCTCCCTGTGCCCACCCAGCTCCCAGGAACCCCCATCACAGGTCCGTGCTCACTCAGCGACCGAGTAAAGCTCTTTAGATTCAATTTGATCCATCAAAGTTGGGAAAACTTTGGAGGAATTTGGGAATAAGAGTGAGAAATAACTCCTGATGTTTTGTTTTCTCTCTTCCTGGCTCTCCTGGCTGCTGACAGACTCTCTCCTGTCCTGGCCACAGCCCCCCAGTGCTGCTGCTCCTGCTGCCGCCGACGTCTGGGGAGACTTTGCCAAAGCTTCGGGGTGAGGCTCCTGGGGTTTGTGTGTGACATGGGTCATCCCCACAGCATTAAAAACCCCTCATCTGGCCCAAATCCTGCTGGTTTTCACTGAAAAATCCCTCCTGCCTTCATCTTCCTCTTCCTCCCCTCTGCTCTGTGCAGGGGGGAGAGTTTTGGGGTGACCCCAGAGGACCCCTTCGTGGCTGCCTGTCTCCCTCCCCACATGCCACCGTCCTTCCAGTGCCTGAAACAGCTTTTTTTAAATACTTATTTTTTTTTTTCCCCAAAACAGCTTTTTTTAAATCCTTTTTTTTCCTCAAAACCATCTTTTTTTAAATACTTTTTTCCCCCAAAACATCTCTTTTTAAATCTTTTTTTTTTTCCCAAAAGACATCTTTTTTAAATCCTCTTTTTTTTCCTCCAAAGCATCTTTCTTTAAATCCTTTTTTTCCCCAAAACATCTTTTTTTAAATCCTTTTTTTTCCCCAAACATCTTTTTTTAAATCATTTTTTTTCTCCAAAATGTCTTTTTAAAATCCTTTTCTCTTTCTCCCAAAAACATCTTTTTTAACTCCTTTTCTTTTTTCCCCAAACATCTTTTTTAACTCCTTTTCTTTTTTCCCCAAACATCTTTTTTAACTCCTTTTCTTTTTTCCCCAAACATCTTTTTTAACTCCTTTTCTTTTTTCCCCAAACATCTTTTTTAACTCCTTTTCTTTTTTCCCCAAACATCTTTTTTAACTCCTTTTCTTTTTTCCCCAAACATCTTTTTTAACTCCTTTTCTTTTTTCCCCAAACATCTTTTTTAACTCCTTTTCTTTTTTCCCCAAACATCTTTTTTTAAATCATTTTTTTTCTCCAAAATGTCTTTTTAAAATCCTTTTCTTTTTCCCCCAAACATCTTTTTTAAAATCCTTTTCTCTTTTTCCCAAAAACATCTTTTTTAAAATCCTTTTTTTCCCCAAACATCTTTTTTAACTCCTTTTCTTTTTTCCCCAAACATCTTTTTTTAAATCCTTTTTTTTTTCCCTCAAAACCATCTTTTTTTAAATACTTTTTTTTCCCCAAAACATCTTTTTAAATCCTTTTTTCCCCCCAAACATCTTTTTTTAAATCTTTTTTTCTCCAAAATGTCTTTTTAAAATCCTTTTCTTTTTCCCCCAAAACATCTATTTTTAAATCCCTTTTTTTCCCCAAAAACATCTATTTTTAAATCCCTTTTTTTCCCCAAAAACCATCTGTTTTTAAATCCTTTTCTTTTTTTCCCCAAAACATCTTTTTTAACATCCTCTTTTTTTTTCCCCAAAGCATCTTTTTTTTATATCCTTTTCTTTTTTTCCCCCAAACATCTATTTTTTAATCTTTTTTTCCCCCAAAATCATCTTTTTTTAAACTCCCTTTTTTTTAATCCCTTTTTCTCTCTCTTTTCAGATCACCTTCTAACCAGACTCCGGCAAACACGGGCTGGGTCCAGTTCTGACCCCAGTCCCAGCTCTTCCCCGTGCTGGGACCATCACAATTCCCTCAGGACCAAAGCAGGAGCTTCAGGACACCTCGTTCCTGCCCTGAAACCTCCCCCGTGTCCTCCAGACACAGAGATCCCACTCGTGCCTTAAAACACTCCACACCAGCAC